TAGCACCGTATCGCAAGGAATCAGTTTCTATTTGAAAAGGCATACATACACACAACTCGTTCCGACAGAACAATCAACAATCTATTCATTTCTCTTTATTCGTCTTTGTTTTCTTAGTATCTAAGCAATAAAGTTTAGAACAAGAAGGAAGATTATAATAAAACGCTTTGATGACAACCTAACGAAGCATACTTCCGAAGGAGAGAGTCCGAGGTAAGAAGAATAGTGATAGTGATAGCAAGGTAAACCTTGTTTCATCATCTGATATTACCTAAGAGTGCGATAAGCAATTTGCATAAGAGCCTGCTTGTGATAAGTGTCATTCTCTTCTCTCTCTCTCTCTCTCTCTCGTTCTCTTTACTGAAAAATTCCTCTCTCTCATTTCACATCAACTTAAATTATTTCCTCATCGTCAAATTTTTTAACGAGAAAAAAGAGAAAAGAAGAAAACTAACACCTTTTTTTGCTAAATGTCCTTTTATTTCAGATGTGAATATGTAGTATAAGCCATCATTTGTTCCTCTATTCATAGAGGTAATAAATGATCTCATTTTCCTTTGTATCTTATTTTCAATGTCGTGTTATTGATTGTTGTGATTCACTGAAGACAAGATCATCGTAAACTACCAAGCAGAAATCAACTACTCGCCATTATTCCGTCCATAGTTGACAATTGGTTTATCATACAAATCAATTTCAATGCACATTTTTCATTTGTTTTTCTTTTCTTCTTTGTTGTTTCGTTTGAAATTACATGGAAAATCAACGCCATCAAAGCAGCATCAATCTGTGATATGAATTCTGTACAGAAGCAAATGCTTACACATATGTATTCGTCTCTGTTCGTGTGTTTGTTTGATTTTATTAAAACAACAAAAAAAAACAGAAATTAGAACTAAATTTTTCTTTGCCTATTCCATATCAATACAAGGGTCGCATTTCTTTTAACCAAGTGGGAATATATCGTTCGGGAAAACGTTTCTCATTGATGGCTCGAAGATATTCTTCTCCTTGTTCATTATACCTCGTCCAATATTCCCACGTGTCTTTATCCAGTTCATCCAAACTGATTTTATCGAGTTTTTCTAAGCCAAACAACCATTCTGGATACGTGGAATCAGCTTTGATTTCGACCGGTGGTTGATCTTTCTTATAATTGAGTCCGCAGCAATAGTTGACTAATTTCTCCGGATCAGTTTCAGCTTCGATGTATTGTTGAACTGTACTTGTAATCACTGCACCCTTCTCTACATACGAAAACATTCTTTCGAATACAAATACACTCGAATGAAGATTTGCACTTACTGGCTACTCCACCTCCAAGTTTCAAAGCTGCACCCGACGGGCCAGTCGCTGTTTTTGTTACTGAATAGTGTCGTTGAATGACAAGAGATAGCGGAGATAAGCGGAGATATCTGCAACTGAACATCGATCTAGAATAGATATTGGAGACAAAAAGAAGAATACATTTTATTTTGTCAAGTTTGTCATCATCTGATATTATCAATCAAATTGAACAGAGAAGAAAAATAACATCTTTGGAGATCTTTACATAATATACAAACAGAAAATATGAGAAGAATTTTTATCTAATTAGTAGCATCCATCGCAGTCGAAGTTTCAGTTGGAACAACAGATTCATTTACTGTTGAAAGTTCAACAGATGGTTCCATTTCGTTTGTTATATCTTCTGTTGTTGCTGTTGTTGTTGTTTTTGGCGGTAGCGGTTCAGTCGATGGTTCGCTTTCGTTGGTTTGTTGCGGTTCACTTGGTGTTTCATTTGTGCAATTGACATTTTCTAAACTATGACAAATTTCTAATTCTTCATTCGTTTCAGCCATCTTCTTTTCTTCTTCTGTTAATTCAGCAAAGACAAGTTGGTCTGTTGATTGTTGTTCATCCCAGACAATTGGAAATGTCGTTACACGAGGTTCATCAACAGCAATGTTTCGATTCAACTGAAAGAAAACGTTGAGTTATCGTTAATCTATCAATTAGTGTATATCCTGCCTTTTCAAAATCAACTTTCACTGGAGGATTTTCTCGTAGTTCGGGATCATCGTATTCTGTAAACACATAATAACCAACGCGTGCGAATTCTTGATTACGATACAAAGCCAAAAGAAGAACAACGGAAACATCCACATCACTATCATTTGGAAGCTTTTTTGGGTCAGGTGGTGGTGCCTTTGATGTAAAAACAAAGGAAGGAAATTCGTTGACAATCATTCGTATTCAGAGATCTCCTACTTCGAAGACGAATTTATATGTTCCTGGCGCAACAGCGTCGATAACAACAACATCAAGCACTTGATCTTGTTTATCTTCTTTGGCATCGCCGACATAAACAAGTTTGAATTCAAGTTCTACAAAATCCAAACCACGATTGTCTTTGTTTTAGAGAAATTCGCCGAAATTACTATTACCTTGTGTTAATTGTTCTAAACATTCGAATTTAATCTCGAATGTATAATTTGATAGAAACTTCGCTGGATTATTATGAACTGCAACATTACTTATCATCACTTTCACCATATTTGCAAAGAAAAATAGATCAAATTATCCTCTAAAACAGCAAGAACACACATAATTATTACAAATGTCTATTTATAAATTAACTCATTTCAATTGTACATAAAATAGAAAAGAGAAAAAAAAACCAATTTAATAATCAATAATCTTCACTCGTTTCGCATTTGCTTTTAAAACAAGTTTTCCATATTCACTGATCCGATGACAACCCGTTAAATCGATAGTTTCAATCGACGGACTGGCCAGACCGAGTAACGCAAGGTTTTTATCGGTGATCTTTTCACATAAACTTATATTCAAATGCTTTAAATTTGTTAAACAACGAATACCAAAACGAAACAATCGATTTGTCAATTGAATACATTGACGTAATTTTAATGTTCTCAAATGTTTTAACTTATTTATCGAATAGAAATATTCCGGAAAGAGTTTATGGCCGGTTAAGATACTCAGTATTTGATCAGAGTATTCATCGTCATTGAAATTGAAATCTTTCAAACGAAGTTTTATGCATGATGATGATATATAAACAGGTAATTGACATTTACATGGTGTTTGATGGGTGATGACATAAGTCCATATTGGTAAATCATCGATAAATTGTCGATTTATCAAAAATTGATCAAGCCATTCAATCGACTTGCCAATTCCACATATCGATACACCAATAAACGCAAAATCATTAATGTTGATATTATCATTGATGGATAATTCTTCTAGCGAGGTTAAATACTTGTTAATTAGTAATATTGAACGGTTGGTTAATGATGAACAGTTGTTTAAATTCAGATGCGTTAATGAGAGCACAAAAGATGATTGGGTGCATATCTGTTGTATTACATCATCTGTTGTATTTCTTGGAAGGGCAAGTTTTTTCAAATGGTATAATTTATCTTGAAACAAATTCATTAGATCGACTTCGGTTAATGGATATAATGTTTGAATATCCAGATCAGTCAATTGCTTCAAGGATGATAAAGATATATCCGATGACGGAGCAAGAACTAAATAGAAATGAGCAAGTCTAAGGGAACAGTTTGAGAAGATTTTATTACCTGGAAAGAATTTCTTGTTTTGTTGTGTTATCGAAAACTTCATGGGCGGGTTGAGAAATACGCAAAGTTGTTTTAAATTCGTGGCAAATTCGTTAATTGCGGAAAATAATGGTTGACAACCTGTATGATCAAGTTTCAGCCGGCCGACGATCAATATTTGAAGATGATTATCGAGAAAAACAAGAAGATGATTTAATGCTGATATTGTCAATGTTCCATCGATGTAAAAATAAGTCAAATTCGATGGTGTGCTTGAAAATAAGCGTTTTATCTGTATATCACAGGATAGGGATGGTTCGAACGAGATAGTCAATGCTTTCAAACAATCTTGACGGTTCTGAACGTACGAACAGATGTTTTCAAATGTCAGAAGTGTTCGATTTTCATCGGTACACAATGTCGATCGGAGTGGAATGCCAAGTAGATGTAATGATTCGATATTTGGAAATGCTTTCATTAAATGATTAAAAGCATAGTCCGATAGATGAGTGTTTCCATTCAAATTCAACTGCTTGATCGACGGAAAGATATTGGTATTTTGAGAGAAATTGTGTGATAAGAAAAAGAATTTGTAATCACTTAGATCGAGTTTTTGTAACGATGTACAACAGGAAATTAAGTCAAAGAAAACACGACAATCGATTAGTGTGGTCGAACTCGCAAAGGATAAACTGGTTAAATTGTTAAGACAAGAACGGAACGATGGAGATGTTTGTAAAAAGGTTTTCAGTTCTGTAAAGTTAAAGTTTGATATTGATAATTGATCGAGACCTTCGAAAGATGTAGCTTTGTCAAGAACTGCAAGACCAGAAGATGATTTTGGTGAAAGAATAATCGAATGTAGATGTGAATAGGATGAAAACGATGATAGACGACTATAAATTGTCCGACTGGTCAAACGAAGACATTTCCAATCGGATAGTGTCAGATGTGCCAATATGAGATCAAATATCTTTTTTAAAATATAGAATATAAGATTAGGTGTATATTGTACATTCATGAAAGACTTACTTCGACGGGTAACTTTTCCATTTGCGTGTTCGAATGTTTCTATCAAAAATGAAATAGAAAAGAAGATTTTCGCTGATAAGAAACAACCTTTTATATCCATCATTTATTTAGTATAGAACAGAACATTCTTGTTGATTCTTTTGCTCATTTGGATGACAAAAGGAGAGAGAAAAAAAAAGGTAAATAATATGACCAATAAACATAACAAAGAAAAGACAACTTTACTTTATCAATGAAGTTCATCATAGACAAAAATATAAAGTATACAACAAACAAAATAATAGAGAACACACAAGCACATCAATTTTCTCTCTGCTTTTCTTCTTTTAACAAAACAAAACAAAAATAAATGTAAATGACAAACAGATAGGTTATATACATATCCAAAAAGATTTTCCTTGCCTATTTACTTGCAGTTGTTTTAACTGAAGATGCGGTATTTTGAAATAAAGAAAATCTATGCAATGAGAGAGAGAGAGAGAAAAGAAAACAAGTAGAAGTTATTCGAATGAAAATCAATGGAACTTACGGTTCAAAATCAAGTTTCTGCTTAGAGATGCCACTGAGAGCGAATTCTTCACTGACAATCGGCACTCCCTTTTTGTATAAATCTTCATATTCGTTTTTATGTACTTGTGCAACAATACAAATTAAATCTTTTCCTGGTTTTGTCATATTAATTTTCTCGATAAATTTTCCACCGGCAGCTTCTACAATATCTTTCAGATCGTCATAGGGTGGCGACGTATCTTTTGAGCAGAAGAATTTGTAATTTTCAAAGATTGGACGTTGTTTCGCCAAGCGAACACTTTCGCGTAGTTGAAAGCCATAACGTGTTTCAGCAGTTGTATCTTCGAGATAATATTTCTCATAGGGAATGTAACGATTTTCTTTAATCATCGCTTCAATCCATGTTGGTGATAAGATATGTGCACCACGTGCGAGGCACATGAAGAACTTTTTCGTACGCCTGATACGATCGACAACAAGTGCATCAACATGACATGATTCATCCATGATCTCGAAACCTAGTTTACGTAATGTCACCAGATGATTTTGATCGAAATTCTAAAATTGAAGAATTCATTTTTAAGGGAAAAAAAAGAAGAAGTTTCTTACTAAATGGCTACTGAGAGCTATTCGAACAGGTCGGTCAGTAGAAGTGCTTGCTTCCTCGGACGATTTTTCGGTTGAAGTTGCTGTTTTTGTTGATTTTCGGCCACGTTTTGGAGTAATAGTATTGGTAGATGCTGACAGATCAGCGTCTGATGGTTGACTACGACGTGTATTCGCCACGGATGCACTTTGTGGTGTTGCTCCGCGACTAGAAATATACACAGTAATTATACGTTCGCTAACATTGTACTTCGTAGTACATACGTTCGTTTCGTGGTGTTTGAAGCAGTAGATGTCACAGGTGTTAAACTCTTTCGTTTTCGTCCGATTGACCGTGTCGAGAGATCTGGTTCTTCATTTTCACCACCGGTATCCATTTGATCGTAGACATCGGTAGTCTCTTTTGTTTTCGCAGATTTTTCATCTGGACTTTCGGAGGCATCGATGGGTTGTTGACGAAGACTGATTCGCTTTTGTGGGGCAGACGAACTGCGTCCACCTCGAGTTGAACGGCGTCCTGTTGTCGTTGGCGCTGGTGTTTGTGGTGTGCTTGAAGATTTGGATTGTTTTTCGAGATCATCTAAATCGACATAGTCATCAGTGTATGGAAACTGACGATTTCGACCACTTGATGCGCGAGCTTTGATTCGAGCTGAGAAAAAGAAAATAGATATTAATGTACATAAAATAAACTTGTATTTTACCAGACACTCGAATGTTTGAGCCAGTATTCGTTTGACTAGATGCTGAATCATCTGCAGGTTGCGTATCAGAGATAGATGTATTTGACTTGAGTTCGTTGGGTTTTTGTTCCACGTCTGGTGTTTTAGCAGCTTTTTCAGCTTCGGTGTCCACCGATTCTTCTGGTGGCGCACTATTGACCTCATCATTAGTCGATTGTTGCAAATTACCACTACGACGGGTGCTCGGTGTGCGTGTACTGGCAGGACGACCTCGTATAGAACCGCTACGTCGACCTCGACCGCGGCGAGATCCTCGTCGCGAAATACCACATTGGGCAGGAGTGGAACTTGAAGTTTCTTCACCTTCTTCTGCTTCATCTTCTTGTTGATTTTCTTCACTTTCAGGGATAGAGAGCGGTGTTTCTTCTGGCGTTGATGCAGCTAAAAAGAACGAATAATCATTTCTTTCTTCACTTAAACGAGAAGCATCGTACTTGATTCAACGGATGCTGCCGCTTCTTGTTTCTATTCATCATCGAAAAAGAAAACAAGACTATTTATTTCACATATTCAGATCTAATTTACTTTGCTGGTTGGTTCCATTTGCTGTGTTGCATCAACAGTCGCTGCATCAGAAATTTCCGCTTCGCCTTTTCGTTGTTCATCGACAGATGATTGTTCTTTAAAGAAAAGCAACGACAACGCTTAAATTAATCACACTCTCTCAAATACTATCTTACCCGGTTGATCTGTTTCCATTTGTCCATCTGTTGCAGCTTCTATACCTACATGTGGATCAATCGTGACTTCAACATGTTGTTTGGGTATTGTATCATCCGTATTCTTCTCTGCATCTTTAAGTTCCTCAACTAATTGTGATACAGGTACGACTTCCAACGTTTCTGAAGCTGGTCTTGGTGATGAGTTATTCATTTCTTCATCAAGACTATATTCTTGTGTATCAGTACATACAGCAGGTGCAGTTGCATCAAGATTAATCTGTTGATCAGTTGGTTGAAGATCGTATGCTAAAGTTTGAACTGGTAAATCATTATTCTTCACAAGAGTTTCTGTCGTTGTTTCGGTTGTTGTTGTTGTCGTCGTCGTCGTCATCGTAGTTGTGACTTCGTCCGTATTTGGTTGAAGTTCATAAGCTAATGTATCTGTTGGTAGGTTATTATTTTCGATGGTGGTCGTAGTTTTCATTGTAGTCGTTGTAATTTCTTCAACCATTGTATCACCACTAATGACAACTTTGTGAACTTCTTCACGTTTCGTTTCGATCACATCGGTTACGATTTGCTCGGTTTCAAGTTCGTATGGTTGAGTATCTGCTACTGGATTACCTGAAGTGCTAACTTCACCGGTTGGTTGAAGATCATATGCTTGCGTATTTTCAATTTCAACTTCAGCAACTACCAACGTTGTGGTTGTCGTTGTCTCAACTGCTGTAACTGTACCAATGTCTTCATCAACGACTCTCTTTGTTTGCGATGATGAGATAATCTCCAGTTGATCCTCGTTATTGATTTGTGTTGGTTCAATATGAAGAGATGCAGCTGTCGGTAATGTTGCTGCACCAATGACTAAACTATCATCATCGTGAATATTGTTTGGTACAGTTGATGAAATTAATGATGAAGATTGATTTGATGATGGTATATCGGCGTTGCCATTTTGTTTCGGTACCACATCTTCGGAACCTAAAGACAAGAAAACATATGAAAAAAAAAGGATTTCGAAGAACTTCGCTCCTTACTTTTCATACTTGCTCGACTAAGTCCTAAAGCAAACAAGAGTAATTCATGACAGTGAGATCGAATTTTAGTACATACGATTTGTATTATGATTGTTTCCATTCCAAATTTTCATCGGTTGTGTTGGTTCTTGATCATCGTACGAATCGGATATTGTTTGTGTAGATGCTAAAAGACAAATAATGTCATGAATCACAGCCGACAATATCAAATCTGCTTACGAATAGCATCAACATTTGTTTCTGTAACAATCTAAGAAAAATAAATACAAAAATCAATTGAAATATCGATCAAAAGATCAACTCAAGCAGAGATTAAAAGTGAAAACAATCACACAACTACTCATTTTTCATACCGGAGAAGGTATATCATCATCCAATGGCCATGGTGAATCCTCTTCAACAAGAGTGTTCACAGCAGGTACATAACTTTGATATGTTGGTTCAGACAATGTCTTCAATAATGTTTATTAGCTACTACATCTTCCATTGAGAAATCTATACTTACATTTTTACTCGTTTGCGTTTGTTCTTGAAATATACAGATAATGTCACCTAATTTGATTTCATCGTCATTGTGCAAAGCATAGCAAACATTCGGTTGCAGTTGAACCTACAAGGTTGAAAATATTTCCCCCAAAATTTTAAGAGAATTGTCATACTTTGTTCTGAAATGTTTTATTACTACTACCGAGATCAGTAATGAAGTATTGTCCATTACTAAAAGTCACTTTTGCGTGTTGCTTAGACAGAGACTAAGAAAAACAAAAACAAATAAAAAAATGTATGAAATTTGTCCATAAAATTCCTTACTGGAGCTGAAATAACTAAATCTGATGGACTAGATCTGCCAATAATTGTTTCTTCTATAGAGAAATAAAGATAGAGCTGTCGTTTTTATAGTTGAGATACTTACTTCCTATTTGATAGGTATTAGAATCCGCACCACTGATAATTTTCAGTGAGGCTTCCTAGATAGAGAAAATTTCGTGCGAAATTCAACGACAAAGAATAAACGTACGGTATTAACTATTGAGGAGTCATGTGAAAGACTTTCATCTGCCGGAATAATTTGTGTGTTATCAAGGTCTGTCATATTAGTTTCTTTTGAAGAATTATTAGATTTGATTAGAATGATTTTTCGATACAAATGAATGTAATGTCTGTATCTGTACTTTACAATTCTGGTCTTTGTTTAATGCAATTCGTGACATCTATTCTTTGTCTTTTGTAAAACTGCTAAAAAGTCACTAAATTTCTCCTTTGGATTTAATTTGAAATTTTATCACTTGAAGAAAAATTCATCAGTTCATATTCAAGTAGAATTCAACTAGAGCAGTTCAAGTGGGAATTACCGCCATCTATAGATGGGATTAAAATTTCGATTATTAGTATGCGTTCCTCTTTGTCCTGTTCATGACGATAGAAGAGCCTTGAGTATACCACTCAGATTGAAAGAAATAATAAACAACTGCGTCACATGATTTGTTTTTCTCTTTCTTGCGTAAGATTATTCCTTCATCGTACAAAGTTCTTTCGAGAAGAAATTTCCTATCATTTAACATAACATTCTTTTCAAATGATATCATATATAAGTAACATGATTCTGCGCAATTTCGCTTCTTTCTTTTTTCGTCGATTCAAATGACGTATTGTAAAAGAGTCTGGAAACAATCATTATTTATGAATAAGCTAATATTCGTTTAAGAGATATATTGATAAATTGCTTCACACACCCAAAAAATATCGATTCTTTACTCTCACGACTTCACTTCGTGCTATTCACATGCCATCATGCGACTTTCACCCCATCACATTCTCCCTCCCCCCTTTGTTTTTCTCGCGTCATATGGACTTAATTCACACAGAAGAAAATATATCAGTGTATATAAGGAGTAGCCGGTATCAGATAAAACATAAAAACTGAAACATTCTTTGTCCTATTTTTAGACAAGAATCTCCGCATTCACGCCAGACTTAGAAGTGGCGGTTCCTATTCCTACGTATAATTCATTGTTGACTTGCGAACATGTCAACGGCCGATCAAAATCCGGTAAGTTCATGGTAGATGATCTTCTCCGTTACCTTCCTCTCTCTTTTTCTCTCCTCAATAGATTATTCAATATCGTCAAACAATAGTTATTGGTTCTGGTACAGCCGGTTTATCAGCGGCATACCAATTGTATCAATCCGGATGTAAGTCCGTTTTAATTCTGGAAGGTTCCAATCGTATCGGTGGCCGCATCCTCACCGAATACTTGGACCAAAATTCCTCTAAGCCCTTAGAAATGGGCGCATGTTGGATGCATGGCTTACAAGAAAATCCTGTTTATGAATTAGCTCAACGCGAAAATTTCCCCTCCCACACGGGAACCATTTTGAATTTTGATATTGGTACATGTGTCGACGAAAACGGCACCCAAATCTCCAGCGAATTACATCATGAAGTCGATCAATTTTTCGAAAGTTTGTTACAAAATACACGTGATCTATTCGAATTTCAACAACAAAACAATACACAAATATCGTCCACCAGTATTCAAAAGGTTTTCTTGGAAAAATTCGAAAATTTTCTCAACCAAAATGGCGCTGATCAAGAAACACGTTGCCTGAAACTCAAACTACTTCAACGAAGGTACGGTGCAGCTTTCCGCAGCCCATTGTTATGACAAATCCTTTCTTTTCGTTGTAGATTCGATCAAGAAACCGGCGAATGTGGTTGTCAATCGATGGAACAAGTTTCATACTCCGAATTTGGCTCATACCAACGGCCAAAAGGTCCTGACATGGAATTTCCATGTGGTTATTCAACATTGATTCGTTATTTACGTGCTCAAATACCACAAGATTGGATTGTATTCGAACAATTTGTTGAAAACATCGAATGGGACACCAACAATCAGGTGCGAATCACATGCGCAAATGGCAACATCTACGAATGTGATTATGTTATCTGTACTATCCCGTTAGCGGTTATGAAATGGAGTTATAAATCATTGTTTACTCCTGCATTACCAGGTAAATCAATGAAAACACTTCGTGATCATCGTAAACAAAAATTATTTTAGTATGGAAAACCGAAGCCATCCAGAAGATGGATATGGGCACTGTCGATAAGATCTACCTATTTTATGATCAATTGGATTTCTTCGATGGAGACTCGTTGGCTATTGTATATGATCGAGAACATGAAACATTGGATATAAAAAAAGAATGGTACAAGAAGATTTTCTTGTTTCAAAAGGTGTACGACAACGTTTTACTATGCTGGATAACGGGCGATGAAGCTATCTTCTGTGAACAATTGGATGAAATATATATCGGCGATGTCTTAACAAATTTATTTCGGAAATCATTAAAAAACAACGATATACCAACACCGAGTAAAGTCGTTCGGTAAGTAAAACAAAATCTTGATGCGCAACGATGCACTGCAATGATTTTTCTTTTTTCATAGAACACAATGGTTTTCCAATCCATGCTCCAAAGGTTCATATTCATATGTCCCTGTCGGTGCTTCATCTTGGCAACATATTCGCGATTTGGCCAAACCGCTGACCGTTCACAATAAGGTAGGTGTTTTTTCAAACGATGAAAACAAATCTCTTGTAAAAGAAGCTCGTAATCATATGTTTCTACTTGAAGTTCTTTTAGTAGTCTCTCAGAAGAGCAGAAACCGATTTATGGATAACACACGATGACGAGGCGAAGGTAGACGATATCTTGGGATGAATCATCCTTCTTAACCTAAGAATTGTTGAATACGCTTTTTGTTAATCGGTCTGTTGTTGTTTATTTATCTAGCTTCTGTTCCCATGATGACGATGAAGAAGACAAAAAAAAGTCGTACTAGGTTTGATAAAACTTTCTTATTTAAACCTCTCTGCTCTTCTCTCTCTTCTTCTTTCGATAACATTCCTATCATTTTTAGTCACGAGTATTTTTTGCGGGTGAACACACCCATACTCGGTATTATTCAACTGTAACGGGAGCTTTCATAACTGGTCGAACTCAAGCGCTACATGTCGCCCAAGAATTGATCATGAATAACGATACGGAAATGTTAGTCAAGGCTAACACGGATGATTTCACTAAAATTCAATGGAAACGCGAAGAGCCACCCTGACAAACCCCCGTATCAAATCGTCGTCTAGAGCCGATGACGACGATTCAAGACGGTACTGGTCAAGCACCATCGATACCAACGGCGATTCAAGATGTTGCCCAAAAGCCAGCCTGTGGTTTGACAACAAAAATCTTCTCGTCTGTTACTCGATTGGTTACGCAGACCGTCTATTATATGAAGAACATTTCAATGAACATGAATATTTAACTTTCACTTCTTTTCTCTCTTTCTTTAGCACGCTCATATATCTAACTTTATGCTTAATAGTGCGCTTACTCGCTCTCTTTATTCGTACGTGTTGTATCGTATTCATTTAATCATATGCTTGCTTCTTCATTTAATATTTACTCAATAAAAGAATCATTTAATCATGAATTAAAATACGAAATTTATTTTAAGAAAAACAAATCAAACAAAGTTCGGAGGAAATAGAGTAGAAGAATAAAGATCAGTTGTATCGATTGATTGCATCATTTCGCGAGCTAAATCAAGTTGAATTGAACCAAAGATCTCTTCGGGATTCTTGTCGTTGAAATAAATTTGATTGATAAATGCCAATTGTATTTGACTCTCTGAATGAAACGATGAGATTCTTTTTCCTGAATCACCATTTTTTCTCAAATCTTACTTCGTGCCCAACGTGGAATGTTCTTCTTTCGTCTATGAGAGATAGATATGTCCGTCTCGTTCATTTGATCATTGTGAAATATTGTCATGTCATAGTTATTCGTTGAGTTCGCTTTAAAACTACATTCGATCATTGGATTGACTTCTCGAACAAAATTTGATCTAGATAAATAGAAAAAAAGAAGCATGTAAAAAAGACGAAATGATAAGAACTAAAAATAAAACGCACCCGTTAAGACGTTGAAATCGAACATTGTTTTGCGTATTGGAACATTGTGTAGGCGCACGAGATCGGCTGATATTCGTAGATTTTTTCAATAGTTGACGACGTAATAAACTTTTTAGTGACAGTGTTGGCTGTTGAGTGTGAGTTACAATGGACGAATTTGATGGACGTAAACACTAGAAGATATTTCGACGTTAGAAATTGAGTTTGTATAGGAGAAATGACTTACTGAAGCGCAGAAAACCATGATGCAAGAGATATGTAACTGAATGATTGAGTGCTTTTCTTTATATTATGTCAAATTTATTTAGTGAAAACAGATAATACTGTTTGAATTAGGAATTGAATCAAAGAATTGTACCGAAAGTAGGATTGATTGATTGATTGAACGGAAAGTCAATTAAGTACTCTCTCTTTTCTTTGCGCCGTTCAATTAGACGAACATGTTCTTGTCGATATCGTCTCTAATTGATTCCTATCACAAAATACTTGTTATTCAACACTATTTTTCTGTTTCATTCACAGACGGTTCCTTTCTCAAAAATATTTGCATTTGTTTGCGAGTAAAATCAAGTGATATATAATCGATGTGTATGGATATATTTCAAACTGTCTTGATTTTTATGTACGGTATCGAAATCATACAAAAAAAAGAGCGAAGAGAAAAAAAAGAAGAAGAAGAAGAAATAAACGAAAACACCATACTTAGCTTGTATACAACAAAAAAGTGATGAACACAGAAATCTTTGTTTTAGTTAAGAAGGCTTTTTTTCCTTATAAAAATCTGTATAGTACATATATGAAGGTTAATATACAGAAAATCAATGAATCTGACCGGTTGAATTAGTTGGTATTTATATTTATAGAAATAAAAACGTTCGAACACTTGATGAATACAGAAGACTAGGCTTATTGTTTATTTCTTGTATGTATAAATATATATATATGTATATATATGTATGTTAGTGCATTTCTTTTCGAATGACGAAAGACAATCGGGTAAGCACGTCAAAGAATCGTCTATCATTTCCAAATTTTCACAACCGCATCACATGAAACTGTTACTAAATACGGTGTACGTTCCTTCGACATCACTAATTGCATTGATGTAACAGTA